AGTCTATGCCTCCAGGAATAAGTGATGTGCTGGAAGCACAGTGCCTGTCATTCACCTAGGTGAAGTCTATGCCTCCTGGGATATGTGATGTGCAGGGAGCACAGTGCCTGTCATTCACCTAGGTGAAGTCTATGCCTCCAGGAATAAGTGATGTGCTGGAAGCACAGTGCCTGTCATTCACCTAGGTGAAGTCTATGCCTCCTGGGATATGTGATGTGCAGGGAGCACAGTGCCTGTCATTCACCTAGGTGAAGTCTATGCCTCCAGGAATAAGTGATGTGCTGGAAGCACAGTGCCTGTCATTCACCTAGGTGAAGTCTATGCCTCCTGGGATATGTGATGTGCTGGAAGCACAGTGCACATCATTCACCTAGGTGAGTGACCTGCATTTTTGTGGTGGAGAAGGTGAGTGGTGGAGTGGAGCGATGACAGTTTTGAGTGAGAAGATTTGCTTTAAAGCAACCTTGTTGCTATAGTAAATATTTAGGCCATAGTCTCCCTGTAAAAGAAGTCTTGTAAATACTTTCTTGCTGCCTGTGTCACTGGACTCCACTGCGAATCCAAGAAATCCTGTAAGGGGTATAGGTCGAGGGAGGGGGGAAAGGAGATTGCCCCTCCCAGAAATCCCAGTTTCCCTTTGGACTTCAGCAGATTTCTCAGGATCAGACTGGAGGTTAGCAGCGGAGGAAGCAGGACAGGAAAGCCTTCTTTTATAAATATGCCTTGGCTTAAAATACTCACTATAGCAACAGGGTTGCAATAAAATCTAGCCCAGTTTATCCTGATTGTCTTATCATGGCTGTGTTAGAAGGTTAGCTAGGAGAGACCTGTAGCACAAGCTACTTGATTACCTTAGAAGGGCTATGGAAACATATATATAGAGCAGTGCACATTCTAGCAGTATTAAACCCAAAAGCAAACATTTCTTATATGGAAGCTTACCAATTCTTAAATGTAATGGCTGCTTTATTTTTTTCTAGAATTGCTTTCTTTTATCTTTCCGCTGGTGATCCAAACAGTAAGCCTGTTTTTCAAAAGAAAAAGCCTCTCTTGCACATTGCATCAATTACAGGGTTGAGACAAGCCATTCAACACTGATGGGTGTTTAAAATGATCAGCTTTTATTTATGTAAAACCTTTATCCCAAAAGAGAAAAAACGGTTTGCTGTAACTGCTTCTGAAGTGTTAGCTGGAGTCTGGCTTCAATTTGCTAGAATATTTAAATCTGCTAGTATATATCTAACACTCCCCCCCCCCCAGTATAACAATGTTGCTGTCCAAACATGCCCCCTGTGCTCATTCATCCAGATTGGGGCACTGTAATACAGGAAGTGTGTTATTGGCCGGATCTCCAGGCAAAAACTAAGGAAAAAAGCCTACAAAAGAAAACTAATGCAGCCACCACATCTAATGATTGGTAAGCTGTGATATATAAAATGTTTGGTTTTGTGTTTAATACTGCTTTAATGGTCCCAGAGTCAGGGCCTAAAGTAAAATTTAAACCCAAAGTGTATTCTCACGTTACACAACTAGGGTGGCATTAGACAAGGTGAAAGAGCATTGGTAGGGGTTCTAGATTAAAATACACCTTTACCTGTCTGCTGCAAAATGAGACCTTGTAGTACTCTGATTCCATATTATGTATTCTTCAAGAGCATTGTGCAATCTGCATTGTGGCTGCCAACATTAGCAGAATCTCTATTCACAGTCACTGATGAATCTAATGATGGAAGTACTCCAAGGCATGCCTACCATGGCATAACATGCAACTTGGAACTGGGGCTCTGTGCCAACGTTTGTTATGGAGGACAAGTTTATGTTGAGTCTCATCCCCTTACTCACCATTCCTAATGAGTTTAATTCCACTTTAACAAAACCCTTTCAAAATAAAATAAAACCTTCAGAAGTATAAAATCATATTTTTGGCTACACTGGGAAAGGGTTAGAACCTAGTTCGGCTTTTCTTGCTCTTGGTTCCCACTGTGGAGATTGATTTTCCTGCCCCAATGACAAAACAAAAACCTGATAGGAGATATGATTTTTTTCATTCATTTACTATGTAGTTTTAATTATTATGTAGTTTTAACAGAGCAGGAAATAAAGCAAAATATCCCTTACTGAGACATAAAAACCTAACAGAGGTTCTATCATTTGCTCAATAACAAGAGTAAAGATTTCCTTGCAGTGCAAGGTTTATATTGTAGATGACCGGGGTAGATGAATGTACATTTACTCCTCAGTTTTCTTGCTAGCTCAATAAATGAGCAGGAAAATGCAAAGCTGTGGTAAAAATATCCTACATTACTGAGACATAAAAACCTAACAAGCTTCCTATCGTTATCATTTGCTCTTAATAACAAGAGTAAAGATTTCCTTGCAGTGCAAGGTTTATATTGTAATGAAGAGGACCCTTAGTAGATGACAGACAGGGGTCCCTCCTTTCATAGCTGCTGATAAATCTCTGGAAGACATTTACCTATTAATACAGTATTTCACTTGCACCATCTGCTGGGGAGATATTGCAAATGTATTTCAGTTGCCGAAACTCAGTCTGCAAGTACTGTGGTAACAGAGAGCTGGTTCCTACATCCTTAATAAATTCCCTATTCTTAATGAAGAGCTGGATCCTACATTCTTATTAAGCTCCCTACCATTATTAAAGATTTGAATCCTACATCCCTAATAAATTCCCTATCCTTAATGAACAGCTGGATCCTACATTCCTAATGCGTTCCTTATTATTAATGAAGAGCTGGACCCTTAGTCATTTTCCTATCCTTAATAAAGAGCTGGTTCCTACATCCTTAATAAATTTACTATCCTTTAAGTAAAATTATAGGCAAAATGTTTTTTTCATTTTGAATATATGAAGGGAGGGATATAACCCCTGTCATTTTTTGCCATCTGTGTCCCTTTGGGGAGATTTCACTTCCTGTTACATAGCCAAAACAGGAAATTAGAGGAAATTAAGGGAACCCCTTGGGACCCCTCATGTCACCAGAACTATTTTCTTCATTTAATGATTTCTCCTCTATTACTTTTCTGGGGATAAACCAAAATTTGGGATTTCCTTTTACCTTCACTTTCAATGATAACGGTAAACAGGACAAATAGAGAGGATGAATCTCCCTGACAGGGACATAGACTGAGAAAAAAAAATGAACAGGTGTTCTACTTCATCTAAATACTATACAAAACAAACAAAAAAAATGCTTTACTTATACTATAAAAAAGAGCTGGCTCCAACATCCTTAACCAGTTCCCGCGCCGGATGTACACATACAATATATTGCCAAAAGTATTGGGACACCTCAATTTACAAGTACATGAACTTTAATGGCATTCCAGTCTTAGTGCATAGGGTTCAACATTGAGTTGGCCCACCTTTTACAGCTTCAACTCTTCTGGGAAGGCTGTCCATAAGGTTTAGGAATGTGTCTATGGGAATGTTTGACCATTTTTACAGAAGCACATTTGTGAGGTCAGACGGGAAGGCCTGGACACGCGGTCTCCACTCTAATTCATCCCAAAGGTGTTCTATCGGGTTGAGGTCAGGACTCTGTGCAGGCCAATCAAGTTCCTTCACCCCAAACGCTCTCATCCATGTCTTTATGGACCTTGCTTTGTGCACTGGTGCGCAGTCATGTTGGAACAGGAAGGGGCCATCCCCAAATTGTCCAAAAGGTCTTGGTATGCTGACATCTTAAGAGTTCCCTTCACTGGAACTAAGGAGCCAACCCCTGAAAAACAACCCCTCACCATAATTTGCCCCCTCCACCAAACTTGGTGCACAATGCAGTCAGGCAAGTACTCTTCTCCTGGCAACTGCCAAATCCAGACACGTCCATTGGATTGCCAGACAGAGAAGCGTGATATGTCACTCTAGAGACCGCATCTCCTCTGCTCTAGAGTCCAGTGGCGGCATTATTTACAGCACTGCATCCGATGCTTTGCATTGCACTGGGTGATGTAAGGCTTGGATGCAGCTGCTCAACCATGGAAACCCATTCCATGAAGCTCTCTATGCACTGTTGTGCTAATCTGAAGGTCACATAAAGTTTGGAGGTCTTTAGTTATTGACTCTGCAGACAGTTGGTGACTTCTGCGCACTGAGAGCTTCAGCATGCGCTGATCCCGCTCTGTTATTTTACATGGCCTACCAATTTGTGGCTGAGTTGCTGTTGTTCCCAGTTGCTTCCACTTTGTTAAAATACCACTAACAGTTGACCGTAGAATATTTAGTAGCAAGGAAGTTTCACGGATGGACTTATTGCACATTGCACAGGTGGCAACCTATCATGGTACCACGCTTGAATTCACTGAGCTCCTAAGCGCAACCCATTCTTTCACAAATGTTTGTAGAAGCAGTCTGCATGCCTAGGTGCTTGGTTTTATACACCTGTGGCCATGGAAGTGATTGGAACACCTGAATCCAATGATGTGGAGGGGTGTCCCAATACTTTTGGCAATATAATGTATTTGTGGCCTCCATGCGGGAGGGCTTTAAAAGTGTAAGTTCACCTTTTGGGAACAAAATAATAAATGCACATATTTTTGCAGGAAAAAAATTATTTTTTTTCCCCCTAAGGAGCCTGCAAAGTATTGCACCAGTAATCTGTGGTGCAATGCCAGACTCCTGCAGACAACACTGATACAAGATAAAGAGCTAGTTCCTACACCCTTATCCTTGATAGGGGCTTTTCAGATTTCCTGGAAATGCCCTTTAAGTGGATCTACTATTTTATAATAAACATTTTTACTGTAAAACAGTAGGTAAAGTAGACCTTTCAGCAATCAAGTTTTTTGTTTGCATTTTTAAAGGTATGACAGCCTGCTTTTGACCTCAGTATCTTGTCTCATTACAGCAACTTAAAAAAACAAATCCACTGTACTCAAACCAAAAAAAGCACCCCACGTGGTCAGTGGATGTGTACTTACTGAAGTCTATGCTGTGTAACAACCTTGCCCTACATCTTTAATATCTATATAAAAAAGTGATTTTATATTGGTGATTGTTGTGACACAGTACTCACTTTTTCATTGTAGAGTATCCGGTTTACTGGACATACAACACAGGCTGTTCCTGCTCCAAAGACCTCATTTATCCTGTTTTCCCGAAGCCCTTTGATCAGATCATTCATGGTAATTGTGCTCTCTGACACTTTAAATTCTCCCTGCAAAACATCAAAACACACAAAATAGCTTGAATATAAAGAAGCACTCCGGAAAGCACTATTTACAACAATTTAAACAGGCCACACCAAAAAGAAAAAACCCCAGTTCAAATTCTGAATTATAATGTAGTAGCTACAAGAATATGGTCATTAACAGGACGTGGTTCAATTTATATGTCCACAGTGCCACCCTATGGTGACATATTCAATTTTCTATTTTGCTCAATTTCTGAATTATATAGTGGAGGGATTAGCTTGCTGTTTTGTGTGTCATATACTGACCTTCCATTGAAAGAAAACTAAAAACATTAGCTAACTTTACTCAGAGACCTTGGGCACTGTTCCTTGTCCATTCCAATAAGAGCTTTCCATAGGAATAAATGGAGATTGTGGCATGCATGCGCAAAAGAAGCAGAACTCAGCCAGTGAAGAGGTTGTGCAGCTACCAGGCAAGTAGGAAGTATAAAACTTTGGGGGGGAGTGTGATACTTAGAGGATAAGTGTACTAAAATTACAGTTATCCTTTAAAACGTTTAAATATAAGCCCCCACCATAAAAGTTATCACTCACAACATTCAACATTTAATGGAGAAAACGATTGTGAAACAGTCATAGATATTCTATCCCTCTCTTCTTCATCTGTGGATTTTAGGGTAAAGAAATGTATCATTTTACCTGTGACATAAAGAAGTGTGAGCCTGACAATATTTTTCTCATTCTTTGAGAGACACAAGTAATCAGAGATTATTAGGTTACACTCCACCTACAGGAGGACTTGGTCACCAGCAAACAAAAAAAAAAACAAACTAACCATCCAGGTATAACCCTTCCTATTCCTCACGTCTCATTTTTTTTACTGGTGTCCACAAAGATGGACATCTTGTCTCTGCTCTGATGAGAAAAGTCTAACTTTTTGTTCCAGCTATTTTTTTATTCAAACAAGATTACCTTTTTTTTTCAATTAAGATTCCTCTAAAAGCTGCTTGAGCTGGTGGCTATACCCAGCTATCCGTATAGTGGTTACTTTATCACTAGCTTTGGAGACCCTGCTGGACTGGATGATTATGATGCTAGCCTGGAATGTGATCTTAAGGACAACTGGCTCTGCACTGTGGTGCTTTCCAGACCTGATTGCACTGCATTAGTGATGGAGCACTTTTCAGATCCAGAGCCATGGCACAGCCCCAAGTGTGACTGCTGCCTCTGAAGACTCAATCTGTAGGTAGGTCACGCAGGCTGAGCACCTGGACCACTAGGGCACCATTTAAAATCTCATCTCTCTATTGGTTTACAATGGAAGGATTTAATGCTGAGGGATTGAGCACTGACACCATCTGCTTGGTGAAGTGTTGTGCCCACATACCACGCTTTCTTTCCCAGCATTCAATGTTAGAGAAGGACTCGTTGGTTAAAGTTTGGGTAGCAGAACCAGCATGCAAAAAGTGTGTGCTTTGCATGCCTTTCAGGGGGTCAACATCTCTTTGGAGGGAGGAAGTTTAAGGAGCTATAGAGGATGTGTCCGGTGAAGATTGACTTTAACTGGTGCCAACAACCCAGTCTAATAAAATGGCATGACAAGACTTCTAGTAACCACTAATGCTTATGTTGCTATACAAGAAACAATAAAAGATGAACTCTAGGCAAACAGTCAATGACACAATTAATTTAAGGCTTACCCACTGTCGTGCCAGATCCAGTAAACTCTGTCTTGTTACCCCAGGGAGGATTAAACCACTTAATGGAGGGGTTACTAGCTCTTTCTCTGTAAGAATACACATTACACACCAATAAGAATGAGCTCCAACATTAGAATTACATATTATGATGGCCATAAACAGGCACTGAAGAAGACAGTTATTACCACTTGTCTTTTACCCGCCCCTACAGCCCAGGTATTTCAAGCAATAGCTAAAACTGATGCACTGCTTGACTTAACTGAGCCACACATGGCCACCCTCAGAAACAGCAGTAGTGTTTCTAAAGCCAAAACTTTTTTTCATTTTTGAACAGAGTAGATAATGATGACCTGGCCAGGTTTGTTTGGCTGTCTGTTACATTTACTTCCTGGCCTGTAGACACAACATAAGGTAAGAGGAAATATATCTAAAATTAGATGAATCCCCTCTTAGACAGTTCTCACCAAAACATGTCAGCTTTGAAAGGTTTCTTCTCTATTCTTGCACAACTAATCGTATGGGATTTTTCTAGAACTTTATTTCTGGTTAGTTTTGGATACACTTTAAGAAATATTTAAAAAAAAAAAATGTCTAGATAAGAGGCCATGAGCTGTAACCAATGGCAAGCAAGAGGCAATGAGCTGTAACCAATGGCAAGCAAGAGGCAATGAGCTGTAACCAATAGCAAGCAAGAAGCAATGAGCGTTAACCAACAGCTAGCGATCATCTTCTTCTAGTCAAACTTTTTGAATATTGTGAAAAGGTTACAACTTCAGGCAGATTTTTAATGCCATCACTGCAACATCTCCCCTCACTTCCCTAAATATCTATATTAATGCAGAAATAAAAGTAAAAAAAAAAAAAATTGTGAAAAGGCAAGCCATAATACTAGATATAAAACGTACCTGCCTGTCTGCAATCTCCTTTACAATGTGCACTAGGCTGCGCGCATGCACAGGTCAGGGTACATTCTCAGAGAGGTGCCAGTGTATCGGGATGAACAAACACTTGGAGATTTTTTGTAGAATTGAAAAATCTTGGCAATAGGACAAATTTGGTCCCTTGCCTTGAATTAGTTATGCTTTGTGAGAGATGATATCAGTCTTCATGCACCTTGTCTAACAACACTGCTTATGTTAGCACCCTAGTGCTTAGCTACTGCATCAGTCCACATGAAGAGGAATCAGAAAGGGAAGCAAACCCACATGACTTACCTCCTCGCTCATTAGTCCAGAACATGAAAAAGTTCATTGTTCCAGCTTCAGTCACTTCATGGTTGTCTCCATACAGCCACAACACTTGCTGACATCCTAACTGAGATGCTTCATGCTGTACTGCTATGGTAGGACCATAATTTCTGTGTGGACATAGATGAATGTTATAAAATCATCCAAACAGCCATTAAAGACAAATCAAATCAACTAATAAACAGCTGTCCCCTTGGCTTAGATACTCCTCCCCTCAGAAGCGGAAGTGCTTTCCCCCCTCCCCCCCCCCCCCCCCCCCCGCAGTCTTCTGGGACACGTGACCCAGAAGAATGGGGGACCATTCGCAATGTGCAGTGTGCACCCGGCTGTTAAGCTACTAACTGTCACAGCCGGGTGCCCACAGTTAAGCTGACAGAGCTGGAGACAGAGGATGGCCTGTGAACCCCACTGGGGTGAGCACCCTGCTGGATCGTTGGACAGGTGGGTGGCTGTTTTTTTAAAAATAAGAAGCTACAAGTTTTGTAGCTGCTGAATTTTTTTTTACAGCAGACTAAAGCTCCTCTATAAAAGGACATTATGAGGCTCCACCATGACTCCCAGCGTTTCCATTTCATAGCCTGCGCCTTGGCAGTATCTGTTAATTTAGGACAGTAGGTGGGATCTGTTTTTTTTTTTTTTTTTTTTTTTTTTTTATTCTTTTTCTCTTTTGGTCTCAGTTATAGTTGTTGTGTTTGTTACATAACAGTCTTATTCTCAAATTTAGTTACCACCCTAATAATTCATATACCACATGCATGGCTTGTTATGATTTTGGTACTTAAATTACCAAAGAAATACCACTCATAAAACAGTTATGAAACACCAGCAATTTCCCAGGAACAGAAGTGTCTTTCCTTTACAATAGACCATCTAAAAACAAGACATTCAAAATTGTTGACCAACCAGATACACTTAACCACTTCAAGTCCGGACACTTTTACCCCCTTCCTGTCCAGGGCAATTTTCAGCTTTCAGCACTATCACACTTTGAATGACAATTGCGCGGTCATGCAATACTGTACCCATATGAATTTTTTATAATTTTTTTGAGACAGATAAAGCTTTATTTTGGTGGTATTGATTCACCGCTGGGATTTTTATTTTTTTTGCTATGTAAATGAAAAGTCCAAAAACTTTTTAAAAAAGTGTTTTTCTTATAACATTTTGCAAATAAATAATCTTTCATCATAAATCTTGACCAAAATTTATTCCGTTATATTTTTAGTAAAAAAAAAATAAGCCAAATTAGTTTATAACCAAAAATTATAATTTTTAAACTTTTTTACATTTTTTTTTTTTTTTTATATATTTTGTTTTTTTTTTTTTTTTTTACATACTGTCACCCTAGCAGTACAGTGTCACCATGGTGACACTGTACTAATTGTGGGGGGTGATGAAGATTTTTTTTTTTTTTTTTTTACAGTGATTGCTTTTACACCCATATAGGATGTAAAAGCAATCATTTCTCTCTCTCTCTGTCTGCATTCTTGCAGCCATTGAGAAATACTGAGTGAGCTGTGATTGGTCACACCTTGTCACATGGTACAAGGCTGTTGTGAATAGCCTTGTACCATGTGACCTCTGTGATCATTCACAGATTTCACACGTAGTAAGCAATGATGTCACAAGTGACATCTTGCTTACTACTTTGCATGTGATCACTGATTGGCCTATCAGTTATCATATGATCGGGACCTCGTACAGAGGTCCCATCCGACGATCGGCGTTTCACTGTGTCCGGAGGACACAGCAGGCACTGGATCGCGGTGCTGCGCGCTCCCAAGGAGCGCGCACAGCTAGAAGGGGCGGGTGCCGTTTATGAACGGCAACCCGCCCCTGGAGTGCCACCGCCCTGTCGTTTATAAACAGCAGGCGGACGGCAAGTGGTTAAGGAGATGTTAACAAGCACAATTGTTGACTGAATATAAATTACCTACTTAACTCTGTGGAACACAATGAAGTCACACAGCCCTGACCTGACATAACCTGGCCAGTGTTGATCAGAAGTCATAGGTACCTGAACTTTGAGAAATATAACAAGTAGAGCTCCCAAGAAATTTTACAATTGTTCATTCAGGACAAGGATATTAGGCTGTCTCAGGAATTTTAACACCCATTATCAACAGAAACAAATATCTACTGGGAGATCAACTGAATATTTACCAATGAGCTATATAGACAATGGCCCAAGCTACGCTTACAATCCTCAAGTGTGTACATAGCCTGGAAGATACAATTCCATTCACGGGAGGCTGACATATTCAAGGCTTTAGACATCTTTTTATGTCCTTTTCCATCTTTATAAAGTTCCATTACCATATTGGGTTGTATTGATTGTAGAATAGAGGTTTCTTTTTTTTTTTCCTCTATATTGTTCCAAAGACGCATTTGACATGTTTTAGTGTGTATTATATCAGAAATATTTCTCCTAATTCGCTACGGTTGTGGGAATTGGGAACGATATACCGAATGTTGACAAATGATATTTGCTAATCACTGAGAAAATCAAGGTTTTGTTATTTACTCTGCTATAATATTTATCTTGTGATTGACCCAATTGCAATATATTTTGGGTTATTCTTTGATTGTGTGTAGGAAATACTCATCACCAGTAAATTAGTCTGTATTAAAACATATATATTTTTGTATATAAATACATTTATTAATCAATTTGGAGATATTTGTATATTTGGTAAGAAATCACACTGGTAAAAAGAACTCAAGAAAAATTACATTGTGGTGATTTATATACTCGGGTGTCTATATTATTTAATATTGTTTAGTTATTTACCGTAACGGCAGGAGGCACTGCGTCATCATAATTATATACGGGAGTCGAACACTGCCCAATTTATTTATAATTATCACAAAAGCACCACAGGCTGTGTGAGCTTTACATTTGTTCATAAACATTTAGTCGTCTTCTTTTTTCTCATTCAAAAAATGTATTCACCCCTAACTAGTAAACAGCTTATGTTATCCAGGCTACATTACAGCTGGACTCAAATCCACTTTTTTTACCCTTAATATGAGTTTGTATATCCCTCACTTAAATAAGAAATGGTTTAACTGGTCAGTTAGGGGACTTGAAAAAGTAAATTATAATTGATTTTTGGAAACTTTAATTTTTTTTAATGTATTTTCAGTACTAACAAACATTTAGTATAGGTAAAGTTCTTGTTCAAAGGAAAACCTAGCAGTGCCTGCTCAAGGTTCACTGCCTACATTGGCTATTCACAGCAATACAGGAAAACACCGTTTACTTCAAGCGGTAAATGTGCAATATTTATATTTACCCGACTACGAAAAAAAAGCCTAGAAAACAAAAAGAAAAGACTGTAAAAACCTTATCTTTGCTCAAGAAGGACTGCTCCATCTTTGTTCAAGCACCATTTAGGGTGAGCATCTACTACCTCCTGGACCAAAATCTTCTCCACTATGGCCTTGTATAAACATGATTTAGCTTCTACAAAAGCAGTGTGTACAGCAAGCCTAGATATGAAAATTCTCTGCTCTAAGCCATTCCTCTTCACCGCCACTTCAAACCTGGATGCCTGGGGTTATACAAGCAGTCCCTGCTCACAGACTATGTTACAAAAGAAGCCACTGCACACCAGAGGCAATATTGGAATCCACATTTACTCTGAAGGATATCCACAAGCTTGACACTGACAGTCTCCCTTTGGGACTGCTCCTAACGTGTTTCACCCATAATGCTTAGTCAAAGAAATCTCTACAACTAAGATCTATGGATGCAAAGCATAAGGGGGACTCAGTGTAAAGCTTGAGGATATCCGTCACAAAAAATGTGGATACCAGTAATTCCTCTGGTGTGCGGTGGTTTCCTTTTAAAACAGTCTGTGTATTGCAAGCTTGCATTGGGAAAGCTTCCGGGGAGCTTTGAGCAGCTTCAAAAACATCAGTTCCAGTATGGCCTCAATGACAATATACTGTTACTGTTGGGACTACTGTCCGCTTTTAAACTGAAGTTTAGCTAATTTCTTTTCTGTGTGTGTGCGTTGCTTTTTTCTTTGGTGACCTAACGTACCCGTGATGAAGTATGCCCCACGTTGCGAAAGGCAGCTGGACCCTGGAGAAATCTTCACTGCAAGGATACATCATTCTCTTCTCCACCCTGAACTTCCTTTGTTGCATGGGTTAATAGCTTTGGACTGGGGGCAGAGCTGCTGTGAAAAAGTTGCAACAAGAACCCTTCCTCCTCCATTGAAAAAAGTTCTTTGCTTTCACTGCCTCCAACAGGATCTATGAATGTGGGAGACTCTCCCCAATTCAGTAAAAATTTCAGCACTCTGATGCAACTTGTTTCTTTACTGCAGTTCAGCCAGAACCTGAAAATATTAACCATTGCAGCACCAATAGCGAAAATGTCATCAGGATTCAAGCTGCTTGCATAATCTGAGACATACAGTACTGTGTTACTTTTTCATTAAATTCAGCTTTGAAAGTCTCCATTCCCAGAAAATGAAATGCATTAGGGAAGTGCTTCTCAGCCTTTTTTTCAGCCAAGGAACCCTTTAAAATTCTGCACATTCTTAAGGTACTCCATTCTAAAATGTAAAAAAATCTAAACTAAATAGTTTTACATAGCGCAGCAACATTCACACATATAGGACACCCAACACTAGAGGTGATTGATTCTTCCAAAGCAAACGCACATTTGCACACTGGTATGGAGTAGTATTCCATTATTTATTTTCCCTCAGTTTATCTCCTTCACTTTGCTAATGTGACCCCAGTGCTGACAGGGAGGGGCAGGGGAGAGAAAAAAAGGATGCTGTGAAGGTGCCCGACATCCTCCTTATCAACCAATGAGGTCATTGGTTGTCAGGATGCAAGTGGTTAGAAGGCTGTAATGGCTCACAATGAAAACCTGTAGCTTTGTGTAACTAAAGGCAGGTTTGATCTACCTGCTAGCTTGTATACAATGTTTGAGTAAATTTTTAGACATTTTGTTAACCCTTTGAGGACCGTAAGATTTTGGAACACCAAAAGAATCAATTTTTTTGTTTTTAAAGTTCGTACACTTCAGTTGCTGTAACTAAGCCATTTCATGAAATAATTGGCAAAAAGCTAGATCCATTTGTTGTTGCTGATAAGAACTAATATTTTGACTCAAACAAAAAAAAAAAAAAAAAAAAAAAAAAAAAAGCGTTTTAAGTTCTTAATCAGATGATACACGCAATTAAAAACATGGACACAAATACGTCCCTTGGTCCTCAAAGGGTTAAGGCACCCCCGAGGACAACTGACGGCACCCTGGTTGAAAAAGGCTGCATTAGGGTATTCATTACAGTGAAGTTATGTCCAGATCATGCAAACGAAAGTATTTAGAGTTAACTCAGTTTAAAACAAGCCCCCATTCATCTCTGTATTCATGTGGCGATTGTGATGAAAAGTTTTCTCTGAATGGCACCTGTGTCAAGCAAGTGACCTCCTGTTTTCACAAAGCACCAGAGCAACTCCGCTGCACGGGATAAGGAAGCCAGCAGCAATCACTGTAGTAGCGGTGCCTACTACAGAGATTTCCAGCTTCCCTGAGGATTGGCCAGATCTGGCACATGCATACTTATATTGGTCCAAGCTAGACCAATGTCACTGTGAAAAAAACATTCATGCCCAAACTTCAGTTTTACTTTTCAAAGTTCACAACACAAGCACGACATTGACAGCCTGTCAGTCCTCTAAGCTAAACAACCAATTATAGAGTGTTTGTTGTGATCTTTGAGAGTGATTTAGTACACTTAGATAAACATTAACTAGAAAGAACAGGAATGGCTTCTTTAAAACTCCTTTAGCGTTTGTTAGGAACTTGTAAATATTTTATTTATCGATGATCTGGACACACAGTAGGTGTACTTAAAGAAATGACAGGGAATCTAAGGTTTCCAAATACTACATACTGGTGTGTGTCTTATTCCAAATTTTCTCCATATTTCTCAGTACCGTATATTTTGTGTACATATAAAAACTTTTGGAGTCATGAATGTTTACAATACAAGATGTAAAAACTTACCCCCCTAGTTTGTAGTTTCCTACACCCCCCATCCAGGCACGCACGTATTTTGGATCAGCCAACAGTGAGACAGGATTAAATCCTCCACTGGGAAAGTATGGTCCCACTGGCCCAACAATGACATATAATAATGCATGATTGGACTTTGTGACGCCAAGAGATGGCTGTGAGGGGAGAAAAACAATGGAACATATAAGTAGATGTGATAAGAAGTGCACAGTAGGAAAACAATATAAACAGAAATTCGGCCCAGCTCTGCTAATAAAAAATCTGAACTTACCTCCGTGCCAATAAAAGTTGGTCGAATATATAGACTGGCAGTATCAGACTTAGGGACCCAATCTCGGTCAATGTCAATGAGTCTTCTCATACACTCGAGGAGCTCAGCCTTGTCAAAAGACTGAAAAGAAATACATTTTATTTAGGAGACATCCACTTTAAGAGAGTCAGAGAGAGAAATATGGATAGAGGAACATAATCCTGGCCCTGTACAGAGCATTGGACCTTTTCTTGAATATGCTGAACAATTCAGAGCACCAGATCACAAAAAAAAGTTCTGGAACTCAAGGGATAGAAGAGAAGGACTACTAATTAGTAAAAGTACAAAGAGGACAACCGCTTTGATGAAAAAAAAAACTGTCTCAAAGGTAATGTCACTAAAGAAGAGGTGATTATTGGGGACAAGAACACCTTGTATAAAGAGACCCTGTCAACAGACCATTTATTTCACCAAAAACTTTCCCATAAGAGTATACAGTATCTACATGTAACCTATTTTATGAAAACTCTGCCTTGGATGTAACTACAGCAGCCTCAGAGCTGACACTAAAATTACACTTAAAAGGTAATGCAGGGAAGTGAAGGAAGGGGCAGTGGAGCTAGGTCAGCACAGAACAGCAATTTCACTCCCAAAAGAGAGAGGGCTATGCCGTGCTAGGAGGGAAGAAGACTGCTAGGAAAATGGTTTGTCCTGAAGTAGTCACATTTTCAAACAAGTATAAAGGCACATGCAAATTGTTTGTTGAATGCATGAAAATTATGGATGGGGTACATTTTGAAATGAAAAAAGTTCAATAAAATATATTTGATTTAATAAAAGGCACATTGCAAGTGAATAAAATAATTTATGGAAAGGAAATAAACTGCAAATAGGCATTTAAAATACAATACTTGATATTAATGTATAGATGAATCAGAGTGACTTGCGAGCCACAGGTGTGATAATTACTAGAGGATCGCAAACATGAAATATTTTTTGGTATTTATACACTTTTATTAGTTATTTGTATCATAATTTGAATTAATTTAATGGTAATTTAATTTAATTATTTATTGAATAGTATTTAGGAGCGCAACATATACCGTATTTGTTGATATTAATGTACTTTTACCTGAAATTTTTTTAAGTTGGCGAGGGGGTCTTTTTTTATCAATGTTGATGTTTTAATACATCTTGTATCAACCTGATTATGTGATTATATAACATATTCTGTACCCAGCTCTAATGACAGCATGCATGCACCATTTTTACACGTCTCTTTCTAAAAAAATTAACACCCCCTTCCCCACCCTTCACCGTCCATAAAACAAATGGTGGGTGCAGGGAGTTTACAGACTTTGCTTTTTTAAAAGAAGCTGTGCCAGAGCAAAACCATTTCTGCACCCAAATTCTTAATCAGTATATGAAGTCACAGAAGGAAAAAGCACAAGGAAAACTGCAAAAGCTGCATGGATAATTTTTTACTGGTGCTTAAGGTAAATGCAGCTTCAAATTAAAGAAAATGTAGTGTTTTCAATATATTTTCCTTAATATGTTCAGGACTAAAAAATAAAATGGTTAAAAAAAAATGTTTACAAAGTTCAGTAGCTCAAGCTGAAATGTACGCCAACAACTGAATGATGAGAGGAGTGACTCCTTCCCCCTCCTGCACTCTCCTTTATTAAAACCCTAATTCCCTGAGACATCATTGTCATGGGTTCTTCAGTTAGGAGATGTTTACTTTTAAAATAAAGATTTCCTAGAAATAGAAAATACTGATAATTAGTTTGATGAGCTTAACAATTAAACTGTCTCCAAACCATTATAGTTTCCATTTACAAGGGATTTTATATGAGGGGCACTGCTATTTTCATGCAGGGAAAGTCTATTGAAGAACTGAAATGACTTTTTTCTTGATTTTTTTTAAATCCAATTTTATCAGGCAGTGTTACATACAGCCATTCCATTGTATTATACAGTATTTACATATAATAATGCTGAATGATGACATAGCAGTAGGCCCAATATAAAAAAAAAAACTCCATCACTCTGAAAGTTAGCATTTGTTCAGTAAAGGTTGTTTAATATAAAATTTTAACATACAGGCAGACAAGCTCTCAGTGCTGTTCGGTGCATTCTTTCCATATTCATCATTGGTCGGAAAAGGCGGACTTGATTGTCTTCCCCTTTATAGGCTTTCATACCTTCAAAGAGCTGCAACACAAAGATTAGGCAATATACACGGTTTATTGTAGTGATGCAGTTTGCGCTGTATATGCGCAACATTACACTCCGTTAGTTCCATCACATTTGATCACCTAACAGGTTCACATTACACATCAGAATTCACCCAAATCTAATCGTTAAGCTTTTGGTGGACTATTTTTTAAATTTTAAATCTAAAATCTTGTGTAATTTACATTCTATAAAACCTTTTACCCTGTACAATAAATTATTAAAGGAGAAGTAGGGCCAAAGCTCTTTTGGCCCTGCTTCTCTTGGGAATCACAGGAGTGTACTTTGTCTTGCACTCCTTTGACACATATTCAGCCGACAAAGGGCTAAAATCCACTGTTGGCTGACATCACTGAGCCAGTCCAGGTACTCGAGAGATCTCAACTTTAACGTTGGGATCCACCCAGGTTCCTGACTGGCAGCCGATTCAGGCTCTCAACATGCCACTGAAAGCCATGAGCCAGCCACTCCCACCCCCTCCACAGCCCAGCACTCCAGTGAGTGCTGGATGGGTAGAGCATTGAGCCAATGACTGACAGTCTTTGGCTCTCTGCTCACAAAAGACCAAGAACTGAGCAATCAGCACTCATCGCACAGCTTTCAGTCTTAGAGGCAGCGAGAGACAGATGCAGCATCAGATCGATGCTGCCTCTACCTAGGTGAGTATGACTGTTTTTTTTTTTTTTAGATTTCCTGAACTTCTCTTTTACAGGACATGAGGGACTAGACATAGTTGTATTATCTTGGTATGGTTTTCCTACCACAACAGAACCACAAATTTAAGGTCACCTCCAAAGAAAATTCATTCTTCTATTCTGGATGCTTGCTTTCTAGATCTTTCTAGAATAATTCCCAAGGCCAAAATGGCCATGGCTATGACATGGGCAAATAAATGATGATGTGACTCTCTCCTGATAAAATCCCCTTAATGTAAAATAAACACATTTTCCCACATGTGGTAAAAATTTCATGTTAATAGCACCTTTATTTATATTTACGTAGAAAAATGGTGACGAGTTTAATACTTATTTTACCCGCTGTATATGCAGGACAGTGATCTATTGCATGCATCGAAGTACTCCACTGCGTGACTAGACACTAAAGGCCTTAAAAATGAAAGAATAATGGCATGGCCCCCTTCCTCACCTGACCTAAACCCTTTTGAAAACTTTGTGGTGAAGGAAAACAGTACACCTCTCTGAACAGTGTCTGGGAGGCTGTGGTTGCTGCTGCACAAAAAGCTGAGCTTCAACAGATCAAGAAACTCACAGACTCATGACAGGAAGGCTTAGGACTGTTATTGAAAACAAGGGTGGGCTGTATTGGTCACTGATTTTTTTTCTAAATGTTTATTTGTACATTTTGAGTTGTTTATTATTCTCACTTTAACAGATGAAAATAAACAAGTGAGATGGGAATATTTTCATGTTTCACTTAATTGCATAATAATTCTGCACACACACTAATACTTCAAAACAAAATCAAAAAGACTTAAAAGGCTATGTTCACCTTTTTTTCTCTAAATTCCAGCTCTCCTATGTACCAGTATAGCATTAATCTACATCTTTTGCAGAAATTCAAAAGCTTTCCATTTTTTCTACCCAGCTTTATGTCAGTGTCCAGATGGCTGTAGAAAAAGCTCCTTGATTACTTCTGCCTTATTTCCTGCCAAAATGTTAGATCATGACACAGGAAGGAATTGCCCAGCTGACCTCATTAGCACACACCCTGTATCATCTACCCCCCTACCTCTCACCCACTTCCAGGTGCATGAATATTAAATGAAAATCAATCAATCAATGATCAATTATCTCACTAAATACACAGACATCGATTTTTAATTTTCTACTTTAACTTTCATCTTGCACAGATCATTCATTTGGCATAACAGCCTATGTGGATAGAACTGTAGTACTGAAAACAGGAAAATGTGTTCTGGGTTCTGTAAAGTTCACATACACTATACAATCTCATTGTGCAATCCCCTTTAGATCTACCATCAACTATGTAGTGCAAGGGCCTGGCTTATTGGATACAAAAGTGATTGGGGTGGTTCTGAAAAATCTGAAAGGAAATTGTACAGATATTGTACAATCAGATTGCATAGTGTATGGCCATCTTTATACAAGTACATTGGAGGGAGCGGATGGAGACACACAGCTGTCAAGCCCCAATCACATCTCTGCATAGCGGGAAACACACTTTCCCGCATGAATTTTTATTTCAGCTCATTCACTTGAATGAACTGCCGTATGCGCAGTAATCGCGCCAAAGAAGCTCCAGAACCTTGTTTAACAGTGGAGTGTTGCCGTAATCACCCAAAACAAGCTCCAGAACCTTGTTTAAGAGTGCAGTATTGCCGTATGTGCAGTAATTGCCCCAAACAAGCTCCAGAACCTTGTTTAAGAGTGGAGCGTTGCCGTATGCGCAGTAATCGCCCCAAAGAAGCTCCAGAACCTTGTTTAAGAGTGGAGCGTTGCCGTACTCACCCAAAAGAAGCTCCAGAACCTTGTTTAAGAGTGCAGCGTTGCCGTATGCGCAGTAATCGCCCCAAAGAAGCTCCAGAACCTTGTTTAAGAGTGGAGCGTTGCCGTACTCACCCAAAAGAAGCTCCAGAACCTTGTTTAAGAGTGCAGCGTTGCCGTATGCGCAGTAATCGCCCCAAAGAAGCTCCAGAACCTTGTTTAAGAGTGGAGCATGGTGCTTTTTTTACTGTGATTTTTGGTGCAGCGCATTTCTGAAATGCAAGGCAAAGTGTGCATTTTTATGTGCAGTCTTCCATGCATTCAGAAACACAGATGTGAATGGAGCCTCACTGTTCTTGTGTAAACCCACAGATTTCACTTTCAGGTCTTATGCACATCGTTTTTCCCTTGACATGCATAGGGCAGCCCGTTGATTTCAGTGGGCTGTGCTACATATGGCTCATGGAACATTTTGGTATGATGTGGGTTGTGCATTTTTTTCACTATGCATTTTGCTTTGGTTGCCACTAATTTTTTCACATGCAAAAATATGTTTGCTTCTGTGTTTGGTGTGCCGCTAATAATTATGGCAACTAATTATTGTTAGGTGTATAATGGTGGCCATACACAATGCAATCTGATTGTACAATCTCTGCACAATTTCCTTTAGATTTTCCAGAACAATGGAATAGGAGGACCCACCTATCTACCCAATCACTCTGTTTCCAATCAGGCAGGCCCTCACACTACATAGCTGATGGTAGATCTAAAGGAGATTATACAATCAGATTGTACAGTGTATGTGAACTTTACAGAACCCAGAACACAATTCTCTTGTTTTCAGTATTACAGCTCTATCCACATATGTTATGTGGATGTTCTGTGTTCACTCAGCAAACTATGCCAAATGAATGATCTATGCAAGATGAAAGGTAAAAAAAATTAAAAGTGATGTCTGTGTATTTAGTGAGAACAGTGATCTCTGATTGATTGCTTTTCATTTAATATTCGTGCACCTGGAAGTAGGTGGTAAGTAGGAGGGTAGATGATGTAGGCTGTGTTCTAATGAGGTCAGATGGTCAATTCCTTCCTGTGTCATGACCTAAAGTCTTGGCAGGAAATAAGGCAGAAGTAATCGAGAAACATTTTTGTACATCCATCTGGAGAGTGACATAAAGCTGGGTAGAAAAAAGTAAAGCTTTTGAATTTCTGCAAAAGATGTAGATTAATGCTATATTGGTACATAAGGGAGCTGAAACTTAGAAGAAAAAAAAAAAAAAAAAAAAAAAAAAAAAAAAAAAAAAAGGAGGTGAACTTATCCTTTCAGCTACTTCCCACCAAATATTTTCTCCCCCACTTACACAGACTTACCTCCACAGAGTAGTGCAGAGCGGAAGTGGCAGGGTGCAAGGAAAGGTTCTGAAATGGTTTAACATGTGGTTTGCCCCAACCCTTCTCATTGGTCCATTCTATTGTCAGCATATGATCAGTGAAAGTCTTCCCGAATACTAAAGTGGAAACATGAGGCTTCTCTTTGGGGTGCTTGTTCAACTCTACTTGCAGGTCTGAAGCCTGTGGGTAGGACAAAACAACAAAGGTATGGATTCTGTAGTATCTGTCAATGTACCAATTTTCAGTTTGCTGTGCTCAGATACAGATATAGTTCTGCTTTAATCTGCCTTTTGGACACTTGTGTACATTTCACATTAAATCCACTGACTGAACATTCAGTCTTTAGTGTCAGTGTTTCCTGGAATGCATTGTCAGGACTCTGGATGACATCCACTGTGGACAGTGCTCACCTTAAATGTTGTGCTTGCGGCTCTCTTGAAATAACAGACCAACTGCGCTGTGCAGATACCAGCTGTCTGCCAAAAGCCTAGGAAACACAATTTGAAATATGGTTATATTTTTTAAATGCAATATTAAGGTCACTGTGATAATTTGATTAGATTTGATTTTTGTGTTTTGAGCAAACTTTTCACACTTAATGCATGCAAAAGGGAAGATCATCAGACAGGATTCATCCAGCAAGCTCATAACTACTGCATTAAAACCGAATCTGAAAGCTGGCCTAAAGAATGCAAAGCTGGCACTGCGTACGAGTCCTACACACAACTCCTGATCCTCTTGTTTGGCCAATGACTACGCCCTGAACATTAGCATGCTCAATATACAAGTCAGAACTCTGGGACAGCACCCTGCATCTCCTATAGTGCACAAGGCCTCAATCTTGTATTTAAAAAAAAGTGTTCTGTAAGCTGCAATAAAGCTTTGCAAAAAAAAAAAAGGGCAGTCTATACCAGAGGACATGCAGAGAAGCACCTGCCTGCTGCTTTTGTTTAATTCTTTGTGTGGATCAGAAATTTCTGCATCTCTCCTGATTATTTTCCCATCAGTCATCAGAGAGTCAGTTCTTATATAAAGGATGCAAAGCCCTGCCCCTACCAAGATGGCACATAGAGACACAGTGCAAAAGGCATGACAAGTTAGTAAATGGGAAAAGATCAGCTGCAGGGAGCCTACAGGCAATACTGAATACTAGTTCTATGCATTTTTTGGCAACAGCCTCCACAGTTCAGGTCCTCTTTATGAGTGAGGTTAATTCAACCCTGTTGTGCAGGTATCTGGCAGCGTATGTACGGTAGGGTCTGTAAGCTCTTTTGGGGCAGCAACTGATGTGAACGGATTAGTATAGTCTATTAAAGTGGTTGTAAAGCCAAATTTATTGTTAACATAAAAAAAGGGTTGTACTTACCTGCTCTGTGCAATGGTATTACACAGAGCAGCCCCATTCCTCCTCTTCTGGAGTTCCCCATCAGCTCTGTCCTGTCCTCCTTTCCTGTGTGTGCCCCCATAGCAAACTGTGTGCTATGGAAGCACACATGCGGGCCATAGAGACACACAGAGCAGACTCAGGTAAGTGCTTGGGAAGGGGCGGCGGAGGGTGGGAGACAAGTGGTGACACACTTTACAAATACTGTAACTGTTGACTTTTAATAAAAGGACACTTGCCTGTCCACAGACCCAGCATGCCCTCACCCAGGCTGGTTCCTCGCCAGTCTTCAGGCCCACTCTATGTGCACCTTACTAAGGCTGGTTATAGGTTGGGACGGTTGACATTTTTTTGTAGTTGGCTAAATTGGACGCAGGGACGCACTGGATGCCTTTGCTGTCATTTTTTATAGCTGGGTGTCACATGCGTCCCTGTACCTTTAAGGAGGGATGGGCTCCTCCAGGCACACCTGCCCTAACCTATCCATTTATACATGTCCTCCTACTATGGAGGGTTTGTAAATCTTAGTTAGGGCCAAAGTTTACATAGGATCCTTGACTTGGGACTTGGGACTGTGGTTTACGCATGTATTTGCAAATGTGTGCACACAAAACCCTCTGTTTATAATGTATACTGTTAGACAGGGCCAAATTGGGCTTTTTCACGGGCTGGCTGGTAAGTGTTCTCTTTTGTGAAAGTGAAATCTTTTGTTTTTCTTGTGATGTGCATTGCCTTTCCATGTGCACCTTACTGCTAAGGCTGGTATAGGTTGGGACGGTTGCCATTTTTTTTTGTAGGGGGCAGGGAAGAGTACAAAATTCCCCAGGAATTGCCTAGGTGATCCCAGCAGAAGTGGGAGCAAGTACCTTCAAAGTATGTTAATAATAATAATAAAAAAAGAACTATAAAGATAGAAAATTCAGAAAGGCACAAGGCAGAGATACTAACTTGTGAAAATGACAAGAGGCAAAACTGAGTTGTAAGCAAAAACCCTCAATGTGCTAAAATGACATGCACACAAGTCAATGAATGCTGCCCATCTAACTGAACTATGGATTTCATCTCACATCAATAACTCCAAATGTGAGCTGTATGTATGCAGAACATAGAAACCCCAAGAAACAATCAGAGCTCAGAGATCACCAGTAACCTGTCCTGGCATACAGAAAGCAATCATATAGAAAATGATGCCTGTGTAATCCTGAACTAGCTGCCTATTCTAGATAGGATAAACAGCAGCCACAGGGACAAAAACTAGTTACATCGGTTTACTTCTCGCTAACAAAATGTGGATAAGAAGCCTCTAAACTGTCATTTAACATATTTATTCCATGAAGTCTTAAGCCTGGTACACGCGCGTTGAGAATATCGTATGAATAAAACTGTTTTTGGAACAATTGCTCGATAATCTGATAGTACACAGCTTTCAAAAGCCAATCATGACAGCTCATGCGAAAGGAACAAGCACGACAATTTCTCTCATAAGATAACAGAATGAATGATTTTCATTCATTTAGTACAGTATTCGTTCGTAAAAAGTTGAGTGACCAACACACACACATGCTAGCAAACTAAAGAATACATCAAAATGCAATACATTACATCACTTTCAAAGTTGTATTCTGTCTTTATGAAAATTTTCGTAACTTTAGTAAACTATTCATTTTTGGACATGAGACTAGCATGCATAAAATAAAAAACAAACAAAAAAACCACAGACAATCATTCGTAAGATATTCTCATCGTGTGTACCAGGCTTAAGTCCATGAAGTCTGCAACTGCTGTATCCTGTCAGTGCCTCATCCGAAGTCTATGTATTTATATGTTTTATAGTGGCCATGCGTGCTTTTTTTTTTTCCCCAGTCGGGGTGTGATTTGATCAAAACGATCGGATTTACAAACAATTAAAAAGCCATAACCTCCCTTTTGATTGACTTAGACTCAGTTTTGCTAGGATTCAATCAAACTGAGTCAATTGGCCAAGGTAGACTATTATGGATTGTTTTGCATCAATCTACAGCACCAAGATATTTTGTTCATGAAATGACTGTATGTTGATCAACTGAGTGATTGATAAGTTACGGTCATAAATTGCATTTCTTTCCTAACTATGGATTGAAATCCCCTTGCCTGTGCATGGCATATTGATTGAATATATGGTTGACTACAGATTAATTATTCCTATTGGAAGAGATTTGTAATGGAACCGACCCAGACTGCAATTGAGTACTTCCGTTAGAATACCGCTTCCCTGCCCGAACACCGACAACAGACACCACAGCTGACCATACAAGACTAGACGACACCAGTCTGTCTGAACATGGAACTCTTGATTTGAAACTCGAACTGGCTTTTTATACACTCAGGGGACAATCCCCCTCCCAGCATAATGATACAGGGCGGGGCAATCTACACTTAGCAACTAGAGACACACAGGTATTCAAACTTCACACCAGCAGACAGTCCCATCAGGAGGGAGGGCTGCTGGAGACACCCCCACACTAAGCTAATACACATAAACACATACATCTCATAATAGTTTGCTCCCAAGCAAGACACACAATAAAACAATGGGATGCAACCACATGGCATTAAACAATCAACAACCCCCCACCCCAATATTAGGACAGATCACCCTGTACCCCTAACAGGCACAGGGTGATTTACACATAAGACGGATATGGGGAGCTGAGACAGAGGTCTCCCCACCTCTCCAAAGTGAGCTGGGTTCCATGGCCCCCCACCCAAAGTGACTCCCGTCACAAGTTTGATCAGAAAAAAAAAAAAGAACATTTATCGGGTGTGCATGACCACCATTAAAGATCAGCAGTTGGGAGAGGGGCAGAAATGTAATTTAATTTTGTACAAACAACTAGCAAAAGTACTGGAATCTGTCCTGATATCAGCAACCCATAATCCTTCAAACTGAAGTCAGATTAGGGGAACGAAGGACAGTACCAGGAGCCAAATCAGGCTCCACTGTAGTGCACAAGTTGGTAGTGAGCATGCTTTCAGGAGGAAACAACAAATGGACATCTGTAACTGTGCTGCCGCCCCTTCACTGTCCAATCTGCAAGCTGGGGTACACACCTGACCACGTTGTGTTATAATAGTTGAACTTCCTAGACCTGGCTCTGCCATTTGGCATCTGTATGACTAGACTGGATAAACAGAACTAGAATCTTTGGCACAATAAACATTTCCCATTTATGTATCAAAATTGTATACTGGAAGAAAAGGACAGAGGGATATCCAGCACTGTGCTGCCACCCCTTTACTGTCCTATCAGCAAGCTGGGGTGTGCACCTGTCCATGTGTGTTATGACTGCAGTGAAGTTCCTAGACCTGGCTGTGCCGTCAGATGCCTGTATCACAAGACTGGATGAACAGAATTAGAAATCTTTTGGCAGATTAAAATAGACATATTTCCAAACTCTTTTGGTCATACTTCTCATGTGAGTCACTGGAGTACACTTACTTGTGCTTGCCTGTGACCCAGAATCAGCAATCAGTGGGCTAAACTCTGCTGTCAGCTGACATCACAGAATCTGTCCAGACTCTAGAGAGGTATCCTGAGAGTAATGTTGGGATCCACCCAGATTCCTGACCAGCAGCTAGCTCAGCCTTTTAGTGAGCCACTGAGAGCTTGAGCCAGACACCCCCGTCCCCTCCACAGTCCAGTGCTCCAGTGAGCGCTGGAAGGTCAGAGCAGAAAAGGGTGACTGAGCGAGCGATCAGTCATGTGATCACGCATTTCTCGGGCTCAGATAGGTATGTGTGTGATGTGCTTTTAGTTATATACCCA